CGCGCCCAGGCGACGTTTGTCATCCGCAAAGTCCGCGATATGTTGATACAGTGTAGACCAGACCAAAAGGCGCCAACGTGCCGGTGGTTCAAAGCTCATACCCAGGTAACCAATCACTACCGAGGGGCCGGACCAGGGGTACGGTATGCAAATATCGGGGGCAATGATTTTCTTGTATTTGCATATGTCACAAATAAATGTCCGAACTCGAGGAGGGGGGGCTCTGAGCGTGATCACGGAGCAACTAAACCGTCGTTCGCTCTCAGAGATCCGCTTCCGTCGATATTGAAGACAATTTTCCTGTGTGCCGAGTCGTTTCTTTAACCTTGTCCGAGAAAATCTCTGACACAAGGTCACCCTTCAAATCAATTAAATCTTTTCTAAACAGGTGAATTGTTTTACCATCAGCATTGTAGCAGATGAAATCTTGCATAATGCATGTCCATTTCGATATGGTAACAAGCAGCTCTTGCTCTGTGGTCACATGGTAAATAACTGGAGAGGACGAAAGGCATTCTTCAACGCTTGGGTGACAATGTGACCTCTACCACTCATCTCAAAAATGCTTGGGGGAAAAAAAAGGTAATCATCTCATCATATTCAGCAGATTGCAAATCATCACGCATGAATAACATTTCACACAGTTGATTCGTTTAGAGCACAAAACATCACTGGGGAAAAAAAAAGGTCTGAATGGGTTTGATTTCGGTGTGCACCTTTAACACAAACGTAAATGATGGCATAGAGTGCACATAGAGCATGAATAAAATATGCACATACTGCTATGACCTGAGGTAAAAGCTGCAGATGAATGAGGGCTCAGGTGCATGTGGTGACGTTCCTCAGCAGAATCATAATGGCAGCAAACGGAGGGGTGCATTCATCATGAATGATAGAGGAAGATATTAAGAGCTGGAGGGACTTCAAGTGGTCACTGGTCCCAGACTGGCATGCATAAACAAGGAGAAGGGGCACTGTTGGACCTTCAAGGTATAGCATCTCGTAGTTGACTTTGGGGTGAAAGGCTGAATAGTTTGACGGGTCACCAGTCAATTAGAGGACACAAATGGATTGAAAGTGTAGATAAAGTGTGAATGAAACAGAAAAAAACAATATGATACTACAGTAAGAACAGAACAGTGTGTGCGTGTGTGCGTGCGTGTTGATTGTGTGATGATTAAGACCATAGAACTGTAACTTGGTTACGTAACAAGACTTCTCCGTCCAGGCTCCCCTGTGCAATGTTATTCTGGAATGCACACCAGAAAGTGAGTTGCATTAAATATTGGCAACCCATTTCTGACCATCAAAAGAAAATCAATACTGTAGAATTTGAGTATGCAATGATGAGATGTTTTCTTCATCCCTTTTACATGTAATATGAACATAAAGTCTTGCTAATATGTGTCATTAGAACACATATACGGCACTTGTATTTGGGATAAAAGGGTACAACACACCAGCTCAGCTCATTACAGGCTTTTTCATGGCAGCATATACAGTAGGCCTACAATGCATGAGGGGCAACATTTTTCAGAGGTTATGTTTCATATCGTCCATGCATCCATCCATTTTCTGATCCGCTTTATCCTCACAAGGTTCGCGGCGGGTGCTGGAGCCAATCCCAGCTGTATTCGGGGAGTAGGCGGGGGACACCCTGAACCGGTTGCCAGCCCATCACAGGGCACAGAGACAAACAACCAACCACGCCCACACTCACACCTAGGGACAATTTTGAGTGCTCAGTCAGCCTGCCATGCATGTTTTTGGAATGTGGGAAGAAACCGGAGTACCTGGAGAAAACCCACGCACGCTCGGGGAGAACATGCAAACTCCACACAGGGAGGCCGGAGCTGGGATTGAACCCAGTACCTCTGCACTGTGAGGTCGACGTAGCGCAAGTCACGTTTTGACAAAAACAAAAACAAAAAACAGCAACTTAGGATGCTGGCCACTTCTGCTCAAATTGGCAACATCCTTTGTTCATGGTTTAGGAAAAAATATTACTGAGGCTATTAATTTAGGAAGGTGACGCTGATGTATTGTATTGTATGAACGTGATGAATGTTTACAGCAACTCCTGTTCATATTGGACCCTTACACATCATGTCATAGCTCCAGGGATGTAAAACAGGGAGGCTGGTCATACATTATAATGTAATATTATAATCCTGCATATGCGGGAAATAATGTGAAAAGTCTTCTGGGATGTGAGGGAAGAGGCATGGGGAAGTTTGTGGCCATTCATGAACGTGATGAATGTTTACAGCATCTCCTGTTCATATTGGACCCTTACACATCACGTCGTAGCTCCAGGGGTGTAAAACAGGGAGGCTGGTCATACATTATAATGTAATATTATAATCCTGCATATGTGGGAAATAATGTGAAAAGTCTTTTGGGATGTGAGGGAAGAGGCATGGGGAAGTTTGTGGCCATAGTTGCAGCCTATAGCTACCATTACTTTGGCACTGATTCACAGCTCATTCCTTGAACAAGGGGACCATTCAATTATACTTTTGCCATTTTTGCTCAACTGTGCTATGGAGAGTTAGTAGTTATTTTTTTGTTATGTTCCACTCAAATTTGCAGTGGGGATAAAATGCCAGATAGTATAAAATGGCTTCTTTGGGCAAAATGTACACCAATGTGAGAGCAGACTGGTGTAGATGCTTTATATATATGCAACTTTGTTCTCAATCTTACCAGTAATGGTAAAAAAAATATGCATCCACACAGCTGCAAACAGCAGCAGTAGGCAGAAAGAAAAGAGAATGAAATGAAAAGGTAAGATTAAATTTTCCCCCAAAATTGATACCCCTGTTCCAGTGGAGTCGAACACTATACTGTATACAGGGATATGTAAGATATATGCCATTTGTGCAATGTTCAGTTGTACTGTATACAGGGAAATATGGGTTATTCCATGTACGGAAAATAAATCCCTTTTGTTTGATAATGATTGAAGACAAGACCTGAATACCATGCAAGGGTCATGCAATTCATAATGAAAAATAACCAATCTCACAGACAAACATGAACATAAACCATACTGCTCTTTGCGGTCATACAATTATGTTACCCATGGGTTGTTTGTCGAAAAAGTGCCAAATCCTAAACTGTGTGATGCTGATCGTCTCACATCTGCACGTGTACGAATGCTACCAAAAATAAAAATAAATACAATAAATCAATCGTTGCTTCCTAAGATAGGGAAATGATTTATTTCTTTTAAGTTTCAAGCAAAACTAATAATTTGTTGAACTACAGTATTTACAGTAGCAAATACGTGTTCTCTTTTGGTGGAGCTATTTTCTTTCTTTTTTTTCCCCCTGTTGCTGTCTTGTGATGACCTATGAAGGCTACTGACCCCTCTGTTTGAACTAGATGTTAAGTAACTATTTGGCATTATAAAAATGTCGTTTTAATGCCATAAACAAAAGCAAAGGTCAAGAAGATGTTTGTCAAAAAAGTTGCAAAATCCTAAACTGTCTGATGCTGATCGTCTCACATCTGCACGTGTACGAATGCTACCAAAAATAAAAATAAATACAGTACAATAAATCAATAGTTGCTTCCTAAGATAGGGAAATGGTCTATTTCTTTTCAGTTTCAAGCGAAACTAATGATTTGTTGAACTACAGTATTTACAGGAGCAATTACGCGTTCTCTTTTGGTGGAGTGATTTTCTTTCTTTTTTTTTCCCCCTGTTGCTGTCTTGTGATGACCTATGAAGGCTACTGACCCCTCTGTTTGAACTAGATGTTAAGTAACTATTTGGCATTGTAAAAATGTCGTTTTAATGTCATAAACAAAAGCAAAGGTGGCATTGTAAAAATGTCGTTTTAATGTCATAAACAAAAGCAAAGGTCAAGAAGGTAACATAAAATACCACTCCCCCTCCACCCCAAAATGTCTTCTCAATGCCGTTTGACATCTGAGCATGTAACACGTTTTAGTTTAAGTTTTTAAAGTGGAAATTTGTTATGAATTAACACAAGAAAAAACATTATCGGTAAGAATGATGTTGACCTGTAAATTAAAGATAAAACTGTTACATTTACATGTTATGTGCTGCCAGTGGGCACACATGTGACCTTTTACAAGTTGGTGTACCTCAAGGCAACTTTAATGCAAATGAGTGAAGAGGTGCAGAGGGGTAAAATAAACCCCGCTGCAACCATACGATGTCAGCATTCCTTTTTAAATCAACTTGTAGTGCGTCTTGTTAAGATCGTTGATTCAGAGCCAAATGTAATGGGCAGCACAGCTCTTCTGCTTCATAATGTTCTCCTCCCCCCCTTTTCCCATTTCAGTCACAGGTCAGAGGTCATCTACGGAGCAGCTTCCCTTGGAGGTGGAAGCATCTTCAACATCCTGCTTGTGAGCATGCTTCAACTGAAAGGCTGTTGGCCAACAAAGGGGCAAGCAACCTCTCTCCCTCGTGAATGGTGGCACCGTGGTGCTCTTGCTGCCTTATCAACTGAGCTTCAACAGTTCAAGCACACGTGAGCTAAGATTGGAACAGTACAGCTGCGTGGGTGACCTCCCACACCCCCGAGGGCATGTCGTTGTCTTCTAGGTGCATCTTACACACAGAAGAAAAGAAATGGGGTTACAGGGAAATGTTCAACCTCATCCTGAGTCATATTTTGCTGATTTTTCTTTCTCAAAGCCGACTGTGGCCGATTAGAAAGCATAATAGCCTGCAGGTGCTGCTTCCAAGCGTTAAATTTGTGCTGACAGGATTATTGTCACTTGATTTCTTCAAAGAACCAAAATAGATGACGCAGCGTGCATGATGGGCGCCGAAACCCATTTCACTCGCCTACAATTATAGTTCATTTCGCTGACAGAAATGGTTGTGAGTACAAATGGAACTAATATTATTTCTTAGATTTGTCACTTCATGAATGTCATTTGATTATGACAATGAGGTATGTGGGAAATGTCCCTGCGTTTTTTTGTTTTTTTTTTTAATCTACAGTGCACGATGACAACGTGCGTGGTCCTCATCGCAGCAGATTCTGATTCCATGTCTTGGAGATTCCACATCTGCTCCGCGTGCGTCATTGCGCAGAAGCACGTCCAGCCCATAAGTGAGGTGGGAATCTGCTGACTGATCACAACCGGTTGTTTTGTCGCTCTTACGTGAGCTCGGATCAGCAGGTGCTGTCTTTAATAGAACTGTCTCCACCGCAAGGACACAGACGAGAAGAGGGATTTCTTCCATTGCGGATGGCGTAAATCAGGACGCAATAAAATATGTGACATCGAAACAATCGGCAGTTTCAGGTACGTTTCATCTTTTACCCTGTGTAAAACTGGCAGTAGCACTTTTTAAATGTGAACCCCCCCCCCTTCCGCTC